AGCAGGTAATGTGTCGGGGGGTGGGAGGGCAAGGGCAGGGGTCACCTCTCCAGAGTGATTCTCATTGAGCTTCGCCAGGAAGTTGAGCTGTTTGAAGTCAATGCCGGAGTGTTTGTTCAGAGTCCCATTTCCTGAGAGTACGGGCAGGTCAGGTACTTCCCTCTAACCAGCCTCCCTCTCACCCAGCCCCAGGAGCCCAGGCTTATTCTCTATCACCACCCCTCCCCTCACAACTGACTCACGGGGCCGAGTGCGGGTAGTCCCCTTCCAGAATGTGTCCTTGTATGGAATACGGTTCAGATTCTGGCCCATCTTCTCTGCCCGCTCTAGGGAAGAAAGACAAACAGTCTTGGCCTCAGCTGTTGTGTGGTGGGAGGAGATAGGTTGAAACATGATAAGACACGAGCGGTGGGTGGGGACAGACCTCGGAGAAGCTCTCTCAAGGGTGCCTTGGCTTTGTCCACAGGCATCTCTCCATACTTGTTACAGATGCTGACAAGGGCCCCATTAGCCACGAGGTCCTGTAATTAAAAGGTGGCTGTGATGAGGGCAGTCACAACCAACCATCGATGTAGATGCAGTACAAACCCTGTGAATGTCGAGAGTACTGGGCAGTACTCATAGGATGGGTTGAGGGTTCTAGAATCTCCCACTCAAGCTCAGACTTTGCTTCCCACCCATCCCAGAACTCTGGGCCTGAGTACTCACCTCTGCCACCTGATCTTGGCCCCAAAAACAGGCATAGTGCAGGGGCACATTCCCATGCTCATTCACTGCATTGATGTCAGCTTTGTACTGCAGCAGCTGGTCCCCATGGCCAAACAGAAAGAGGCAGAAGGTACAGTCAGTCCCAAATGAGAGATGTGTGTTGAGGCATGCAAGGAGGGAGAAGAGTATACGTACTTTCTATGGTATGTTATAGTGCCTATGGCTGACTTCCAGGCAGGTACGTCAAGTAGATGACAGAGGCAGGGGTTCATACATACCTTCTGTACAATATCACGGTGCCCATGACTGGCTGCCAGGTGCAGAGGGGTGTCATCCCCACGGTTCATCACATTGATTCGTGCCCCGCGCATGATCAGCATCTCGACCACAGCAGATCGGCCTTCTCGGCAGGCCCAGTGCAAGGGGGAGAAGCCATGATCGTCCCTTTGAGGAAGGGGCAATGGTCATTGATCTGGAGGTGGGATGGGGGCAAAGGCTTTGATACAAAAAAAACTGATAGTCACTCTTCATACTCTCCCTGAGAAACTTTACCTCTAGGACTTTGATTCTCATTCATGCCAGCAACTCCCAAAGCTGTCCAATTCAGACCTTCCCCTGAGCTTCAAACCCAACCAACCACTACCTGAAATCCCAACAAATCCACATGATTCATTGTCTCCATCACCAACTCCCACTAGCCTTTCTTCCCTGGCATGCCCTCATTACGTGGTAACATTCTTCATCTGGTTTCCTCTGCACCCCTTTTGCAACATCTGTTGGTCCTTTCTGTCTTCCACTGCATCTGGCACATCCCCCTACTACGGTACTTGTCACACTGGATTGTAAAAATCTGTTAGTGGCCTGTCTTGTCTATTAGACTGTAAGCTTCTTGAGAGAAAGGAGTGACGGCAGCTGTTCAGTGCACGTTAATGGGAAGGAGGAGTAGGTTTGAAAAGGAAAGCCGCAGCTCATGGGAGAGGAAGCAAGCTTACTGATTGGTTCTGATACTGAAATTAAGATCTAAAAAGGGAATGGAATTAAAATGATGGTTTGGAAGGGTTTATAATGAAAAGGAGAAATGCTTTTGATAAGTCATTCATGATGAAGTAGATACCACCACATAAGACAGGATTCCTCTACTCAAGCAATCCTGGGCACAGAAAACAAGAAAATGAGAATGGCTTCTTTAGAAAGAAAGCTACACCTGACTTTTTTCTTTTCTCAAGAACTTGTATTTTATAAAGTAAAAGAAATATACAGAAAACAAAAACCAAAAAAACCCAACTGTGTGGAAGCTAGGCCGGCCTGACAGCCTGGGGCCATAAAAGGAAATTCCCTCCAGTCCTGGGCTGCAGATCCAAGGGGCGGAGCAGGGGGGCAGTCCGTGGTCTGGGCCGGCAGCCTCGGGATGCCTTAGTGCTGCGGTCACTTCCCGTGTGCGGGCTCTGGGCGGGGCCTGGAACCGCCACCGCGGGCCACCCAGATGTCCACACAGCCAATGTGGGTGGTGGGTGTGGCCTTTAACTTAGATTTCCCTCCACAGCTGCCCTCTTCTGCTCCCAAAGATAGCCAAAACCTTTCCTGGGAGGTGGGTATTCCCCTTCCTCTTCCTAAAGCAATCACCACCCCCTGCTTATCAGTCAGTTTTGCATCCCAGCTCTTTAATTTGTGCCCCAGCTTATCAGCCTCTGGCAGTCTGTAGCCCCAGAGCAGGCCAGAGCCTGAGAGCAAGAGCAAGAGTATATAGGCACAAGGGTTCTGCCCACTGTCAGGCCGCTGGTCACCTCAGAACCTGAACTTTAGTCCTGAAGAGGCCAGCAGGAAGTTCACCCTCACTTCATATCCAGCATATAGCCAGTTGGGCCCTATCTACTCAAACCAGCACCAGTTACGCTAATGCCGCCCCTTCACCTTTTGGCAGCTGAGTCTTCCTAGATGCCAGGCTCACTGGACAACCTCACCTGACCCGTTATAACCCCACCAACAAAATACTAACTGCGCTCGCTGTCTTTATCAGAGCACCCTTTGAAGAATTATATGAAAAACGGAAGGAGTGACTGAGAATTATGGAGAAATAGCATAGAGCCTAATGGAAACCTGTAAAGCCTGGATGAAGATGACAGGTGATCCTTACCTCTCAAACCTAAAAAATAAAATCTCCCAACCTCAAAAACTAAAATTTTAAAATTAAAATCCACCATCCTGAATCAACATCACTACTGCTTTTCTTGTCCTCCTTTCTCAGCCAGCCTTAAAGAACTTGTCTACATTCACTTTCTCTACCTCCCATTCAACCTGTCACAGGGCTGCTGCCTTGAAGGCGAGCATTATGTCTGATTCTGGACCTCTAGCACCCAGCACAGAAGTTCAGTATAGTTCTTTAAATGAAGGAACCTAGTCTAGTTTCTTCACCTGTTTTCCTCTGAAGCAGCCCTCACAGAGATCATCAAATATATAATTAATTGTAAATTCAGTGGTTACTTTAAAGTGCTCAAGTTCTTTGACCTCTCAGCAGTCTATAGTACCGTTGACCACTCCCCTTTTGTTGAAACATTCACTTCTCCAAGCCTTACTAGCATATTTTCCTGTTTCTCCTTCAACCTCCAGTTGCTCCTTTTTGGTCTTGTAGGTTTCTCATCCCCTCTGTTTCACACCCTCCTCTTCAGGTGCCACCTACATGCTAATGTCTCCCAAATCTGTCTCCAAGTCTTATCTCTCTCTTGAAATCCAACAGCCTACTCAACATTTCCACCTCACTGTACTGTCACTTTAACATGTCCAGAGTGGAACTCATCACCCTTCAGTCTTGTCCATGTCAGTAAAAGGAACCACCATCTACCCAAGTGCCCAAGCCAGAACCCTGGTCATCATCTTTGACCTTCCTCACTTCCCACACCAAGTCTCACCAATTCTTTATCCTAAAGATTTCAGGAATTTGATCATTTTTTTCTTTTTTACCTGCCCCAATTCCAGTCCAAGCTATCACCACTTCTGGTGCCACTCTTCACATCACCACCTGCTCTTCACAAAGCATCCAAGATGACACTTAACAAATGGACAGTCTCATCATATCATTACATGGCTTTAAACCCTTGTTCTTGGAATAAATGCATTATTATAGTCTAAATATTGTTGCATGATCTGGCTGACCCTTGCAGACCTTTCCAATCTTATCTCCTGTCGTTCTCCGCTTGTACCCAGTGCTTCAGCCCACAGAAGCCCACAGAGGTCTTCTATCCTCTAGCCATATGGAACTCTGGACAATTTCTGGGCACCCTCTTCTGGGTGTCTTGCCCCCTAGCTTTTGCCCATGCAGTTTACTGAGGCTAGAAAAGTTCTCTGCAGCCTCTGCCTGTGAAATTCTTATTCAGTCCAGATTCAGCTCAAACAACAGCTTCCTGTGTGGAGACCCTCTGCCCCACTGACTGGCTGTGCTTAGCCCTCATCACATTGGATAGGAAAGTCAGCAGCCCGCACCAGACGTGAGCACCCCACATCAAGGAGAGGAGCATATCTTTACCCTTCCTCTCCCCCACCAGCCACCTCAGCTCACCCCTGGTTGAGGTCGTTCTCCGTGTTGTCCAGCCACAGGCGGACGGCAACCGCATTGCCCTCCCGGCACTGAGTGAAAATGTCGTCCATAGCAGCGTCCCGGCGCTGAGTCCCCTCGATTGGGAAAGCGTGGGGACTGTAGAAGGATCCAGGGAAGGGGGGGGTGAGCCCCAAGCCTTGTCCCTTAAAGGAGAGAAGTGTTTGTGTTGGGGTGGGGGTCTGGGCACTGCGTCCCCGGCTACTGGAGGTCTGTGAAGGGGTTGGGGGGCAGCGGGATGATCCCGTACTGTGTCCCCTGGGCGCGAGGGAAGGGCGGGTCGGGCGAAGTAGGGGGTGATTAAGAGGCAGTACCTCCCGAAGGGGTGTCAGAGAGCAAGCACAGAGACCCTACCCGCGGACAGAGCTGGGGGGAGGGGGGAGTTTAGGCGCCCTATACCCTGGGGGAGGGGATCGGAGGTCCTTCCCGGGGATGGCCTTCGTTCCCCACTCAGAACGGAGTAGGCGGAGTGAGGGGTGACCGCCTGGTAGAGCTCGAGACTTGGGGAGGGGGCACGGGTGCTCCCACACTCACCGGGACTCGGGCTGGAGGAGCCTTCTCCGGGGAACTCCCGTCCGGCCGCGCCCGCCGCCCGGCCCCGCCCCTGGCCCTCTCTGGCTAGCGCGGGCCTCCTTCCCCCAGCCCTCCAGCCCGCCTTCCTTGACCTTCTAGCCCACCAGTGTCTAAACTCGATGGTTTTCGGCGCTGAGCCGGCTGCTCTAGCCGCCTTAGCTTTCACTCTTTGGTTTCCGGCCCTGTGTTGGAGGCTCTGAGCGCTTTGACTCCTGGAGACTGGCTGGGCACGTGGAGAGGCTGGTGGACCGCGCGACCTCGCTCTCCGCAACCCCATGTTCGAGGAGCCGGAGTGGGCCGAGGAGGCCCCAGTAGTCGCGGACCTCGGGTCTGTAGCCTTACGGCCTCGGACCACGGCCGACTCGCAAATCAAGGTGAGTGGACCCGCAGGGGCACTCGGAACGGACCCCGCTGGATCCCAGAGATGGGGCGCGCCGCATGTGTATTAGGGGGAGGGGGGCGCCTGCGACCGCCCGAAAATCCCGGAACTTCCGAAAGAAAGTGACGTTGGAACTGAGAGAGACTTGGTGAGTAGAAGTTAGTGAAGCAAAGAGGGTTTCTTGGAAGGAAAAGCACGTGCAGAGACCCTGGTGTGAGAGAGCATGTTCTGCTAGGGTCACACACCTACACAGAAATAATCTGTGTAGTTGGAACGGAGAGAGTGAGAGGGGTTGCTGTAGAAATTGGAGAGCTAGATTAGAAGCTTTGCATACGGTAAAGATAGAGAGAAGCCAGTGGAGTGTTTTAGCAGAGGAATGATTTCTTCACATTTGCATTTTGAAAAGGTCATTGGGTGCTCTGTGGAGACTGGAGAGAGCAAGAGTGAACGACGTTGAAGGGTTGTCAGTACTACCTTTCAAAGGGAGGTGGTGCTGAGGGGAGCTCCAAGATAAGTGCCTGGCTTAGGACCGCCCAGTAGGACTTCAACCTAGAATGGCCTCCCAGACAGCAGACCTTCTCCTTTAAGCTTTTGCCGATGTGAGGGCTGCTGCACTTGCTCAGGCTCTTTCTACCCTTCGGTCAGCCTCCAACATGGAATCTGTCTGCTTTATTCCCTCCTCTTCAACCCCTCAACCCATTGCTGTAGTCCGTGCCACTGGCCTCTGTCTACAGCTTGTTCTTTTCAGTTTGTTCTCTACACTACAACTATTAAAGGAGGCACCTTTAATACACACAACGTGTGATCCCGTTACTCTTGTTTTCAGAAACCTTCCTAACTTTTATAAAAAGGTATTAGTTAGAGGTAGAAGCCTGAGCGTGAGGGTTGGAACTCCTGGTCCCTGGCCTTGATCTTGTAGCTTGGAAGGAAAATCACGTGCAGAGAACGTTTCTCTGGGGAACCCCATTACCTCATCTGCACAATGAAGGACGTGGGGTGGATGATTTCTCTGCCCTCCTTGGGATGGCGACTTGAAAGTTCTTCAGGGTCTGGCAGTCTTCATGACAAGTTAAGTTGACTGGGAATAATCCATATGCCTCTAACCAGTGTCTGAATGAGGTCCCCATCTCTCCTTTCTTATTCTCCAGGCCCCATCCATTCTCCTCGTCCCTGCTCTCATCCCTTGTTTTCCCCCAGGGCTCCAAGCACCGCCAGCTCTTGGCCACATTACGGGCCCTGGAGGCAGCATCTCTTCCCCAGCAGCCCCCCAGTCTGCCTGGCAGTGACGAGGAGGACGAGGAGGAGGTGGTGCAAAGAAAGAAGAAACGCCCAAAAAAGGTCTTGTTTGCCAGCACTTCTCCTGAAGTAAAGAAGAAAAGGAAGAAGAAACGTCAAAAACAGGGCCCACCTAGCAGTGACTCCAAGGAAGAGGAAGTGGAAAGGAAGAAGTGCCACAAAGGGGCTCTTCTTGGCAATGACTTTGCTGCAGAAGAGAAAAGAAAGAGGAAATGCCAGAAACAGGACCCTTCAAATCCTGCCCAGCCCCTGGACAATGTTGACCAAACTGGTATTAGTGCATGTGGGACAGGGAGGGGGGATCAGCTGATCCTAAATATGACAGAGGTTATCTGCCACCACTAGATTTGGGGTTAGGGAATAAGAAGTACTTTCATCTAGGCCACAACCTCTGTCTCAGGTTTAGTCTCTTGCTAAGCCTCTGAATTCAGGGCATATTGCCCCAAATATGCCTTCCCATCTCACTCCCTGCAGGTTCCAAAGCCTGGGATTCTAGTGCTGCAAATGACTCCACCAAGCCAAGCCCTGAGACCCCTTGCTCTAATCCTCCGCATACCTTGAGTCGCAAGCAGTGGCGGAACCGGCAGAAGAACAAGCGTAGACAGAAGAACAAGTTTCGGCTTCCTCAGGCGCCAGAGCAGGCCCCAGCCACAGCCGCCGCAGAGGAGACAGAGGTGCCTCCTGCCCCCAGTCCAGACAGCCATGGAGCCCGGGCGGAGGCTCTGCGAGCCCGCATGGCCCAGCGGCTGGATGGGGCCCGGTTCCGCTACCTCAATGAACAGCTGTACTCAGGGCCCAGCAGTGCTGCGCAGCGCCTCTTCCAGGAAGACCCTGAGGCCTTTCTCCTCTACCACCGTGGCTTCCAGAGCCAAGTCAAGAAGTGGCCACTGCAGCCAGTGGACCGCATTGCCAGGGATCTTCACCAGCGGTGAGTGGGAGTTGGGCATTGTGAGAAGCGAGGTGTGTCAGTCACGGGCTCAGACCAGACCAGTGAGCTGTTCCTGCCTTCCACTTCCAGGCCTGCGTCCCTGGTGGTGGCTGACTTTGGCTGTGGGGACTGCCGCCTGGCTTCAAGTATCCGGAACCCTGTGCACTGCTTCGACTTGGCCTCTCTGGACCCCCGGGTCACTGTGTGTGACATGGCCCAGGTAAACCCCACTCCTTCCACGTATCTGGCCTGTGCCCTAGGCCCAAACTTCATGGGCTAATCTCTAACATGCCCTCTCTGCCCGGCACCCCTAGCACTCGGTGCTGGCTTTCTCCTCCCCATAATGCGTGCTTCATACAATACTCTCACCCTCCATAGGTGCCTCTGGAGGATGAATCTGTAGACGTGGCTGTGTTCTGCCTTTCACTGATGGGAACCAACATCAGAGACTTCCTAGAGGAGGCAAATCGAGTGCTGAAGCCAGGGTAGGAGTCCCCAGGAAACAGATGCATGTATATGTGCACATGCGTGTGTCTGCATTTGCCCAGAACTTTCCATCCTTTTCAGGGGTCTCTTGAAAGTGGCTGAGGTCAGCAGCCGCTTTGAAGATGTTCGGACCTTTCTGGGGGCTGTCACCAAACTGGGCTTCAAGGTCATCTCCAAGGTGAGGGCCCCAAGAAGTCTGTCCGTATTTTTGTCACATGTGTGGCCCTTCAGGGTAGTAGTGGTGTTCAGGATGGAGGTCATAATCAGACACAGACGTTTGCTCCTTGAAGGCATGACTTGTGGGAGAGCCCTGGGGAGCTTTCTGGGCAGGGACGGGATGTGGACGGAGGTGGTTTGAGGAGCTGGGGTGAGGATTTAGAGCTCACTGGGTCTTTTCTGTCCCTAGGACCTGACCAACAGCCACTTCTTCTTGTTTGACTTTCAAAAGACTGGGCCTCCTCGGGTCGGGCCCAAGGCTCAACTCTCAGGCCTGAAGCTCCAGCCTTGTCTCTACAAGCGCAGGTGACCTCTGGACCCCCCTTGAAAGGGGAGGCAAGTCTTAAACTCCAGGCTCAGTACTCTGAAGTACTCAGGCTGTGACCCGGGGCCTGGTACCACCCTTACTCCATCCCAAGAACAAAATGTAATGAAACCCCTGGCTCAGCCCTGCTCTAATGAAGGCTTCTTGGTTCCAGGAAGCATAAAGTCATTTGGGCTAGCTAAAGAATAAGGAGTTACTGTGAGAACGCAGGAGTATCTGGGAATTGTGGATGCCCTTAGTGTCATGGAAACGACATGGTTTGGAATTCAATGCATCTCTGGGTGTGGCTCCTCTTTCCATCTCTCAGGAGCCATGTGGGCTTTCTGTCCTAGCATCTCCACTCTCCTCTATTGTCCTTTTCCTGTTTGCACATCAGCTCCTTCTGCTTACTCATAGCTTCTACAGCTTTGGTCTGCCCAGGCCTTGAAGGCCTGGGGCAGGCATTGCTTCTTGGCTCTGGGGCAGCTGGTAGCCCACCAGCATCCTGGCTGAGCACGTCAGTCTGGGCTTCTAGGTCAGGATGGTTTGATTGTCCCTGTACTGAGTGCTTCTTTCCCCTGATCCTTATCTCCATCTTTGGACCTGTATGGCCCAAACTACTCCTAGTATCTGTTGTCCCATAGGGCCCTGGTGTGTGTCTGGCTGAGGGCACAAATTTTGGAATCAGGTAGGCCTGCCACTGATTGCTGAGTCTTTTAATCTTTGAATGTCATATTACTCATTTGGAAAATGGTAGGATTCTTGTCTCATGGGATTGTCGTGTGGTGTGGGTTAATGAGGAAATCTGTAGCTAGGGCTGGGTGCACAGGAGGTGCACAATAGACTGTAGCTGTGGCTGATGTGTGTCGTAAGCATTACTGTTTTCTAAAGACCTTCTCCAGGCAGGGTTAGGGGCCGAAGAGTAAAGAATGGACTTGTTGACTGAGGAAGACTCTGGGAGAGCTCAAGGTAGGCCTTTCAACAGGCTTATTTTATAGGATTTTTAGAGATTCTTGACAGATTGTGAGCTGTTCTTTGAGGGGGGGTGGTGCAGGAGCTGGGCCTCTTCATAAATCACAACTGATTGATGCTATTTGGGGTGGAGATTGGGCTGTTCATTGGCAGAAGGGTCTGTCTGTTGTTTCTGCCTTGTAGTGGGCCCAAATCAGCATGTCTTAGGAAAGCTATAGGCAGGGAAGGCTAGTGCTGGGAGAAGATGAACTGGGATGATAGGTCCTTGGCCCCTTCCAGAAGGCATCTGCCATGGGCCCAGGTATAAAGATATAGCCTGTTCTACCTATTTCAAAGAACAAGAGCTGAGAGTGACCACTGGGACACAGGTTCCAGGGCTCTGAGCCAGTTGGGTGCCTCCAGTAAGGTGGGTGTTTTGAGGCAGGCTGTGTAGACCAGAGGGCATGTTTGGAGACTGGGCTATGAACCATCCAGCAGCTGCTGCTCAGTACCTTTGCATGTGCTTCTCTCTGCTGAAGACTCATCTGATCAGCAGAGTCTTACTCATCCTTCCAAACAGCCTAGTTGTTTCCTACTCCGTTACTCCCAAAGCAGAACTAACTTCCTCATCCGCACTCTCAAAGCGCTACGTGACGAGTGCAATTTCAGCATTTAAATACTGTGTGGCAGTTGCTTTGTGCGTTAGGCTGCAGTCTTCTCAACTCATATTTATCTTTGTATTCCTGAGCCGGTCACTTGAGATCCATCTAAGGAGGTGATAAGGATGACAGGGTCCAGTTGAGTGGGACCGATGAGAAGCGGGGGTGTTGCAGGAGCCCAGGTTCGGGCACGTGATGAGGGTACTGTGAACTAGTGACGGTGGAATAGGCGGAGGCGGTTGGGAGAACTTCAGTGAGTAGAACTGGTGGCACATTGCGGCTTGGTGAGAGAAAGGAATCTGAAGCAAGTCTTGGGTTTCTGGCTTGAGCAACTGGTTGGGCTGGTGACGCCATTCAAAAGGTTGGGTTTTTGGTACCTTGATGTTCACTTGGAAGTGGGACAGAAACTCAGCAGCCAGAGGAGGTAACTCAAGTCATAGGAATAGATAAGATATCCAAAGTAAGAGAACGAGAAGAGAAAGTGGCTTGGAATAGAACCCACAGGAGCATTTAATGGATGAGTAAAGGAAAATGAACCAATAAAGGGGACAAGAAGAGAAGGTGGGGCCAGAGATGGAGGAGTAAAACCAGGAGAATGAATTTCTTAATGTGGAAGGAGTGGGGAGGTTTTCGGCCGACAGATGCTGTTGAAAGGTCTATTAAGATGAGAGAGAGGTCAGGTCGCAGCAGGGAGAGGATTGCTGCATAATGTTGAGGGCCTGGGGTTTGAATTTATAGTGGTATTATTCATGAATTTATAGTGAGCCCAATGCTGTGGTTCTCTCTACGTACTCAGGAATCTAGGTGTAGCTGTGGAAAAAATGAGTACTGAGGGATCATCCAGAGTTGGAAACTTGCCATGCAATTGAAATAAACGAGCAAAGGAATTTCAGACCGTTCGTAAGTAAGTGATTGCTATGCTGGACCATGGAATTTGGTAGAACAGGTGAGTGGAGTAAAGACAGGAGTAGGTTGTTGCATTGGAGGTAACTGAACAAGTAACCTAGAAGGATGGGAGACTGTGGTCAGAAACTGGAATGCCTGAATAATTCATATTGGAAGCAGAGCAGCTCCAGGCAATGGCTAAGTTTAGAGTGTAGTTATAGGGGTGAGTGCCTGAGAGGTGTGCAAGGGAGGTTGCCCGGAGATTGGTTAATGCATGGAGGCCTCAGGTATTGAGAGAGGTTCTGCGTGGACTTTGAAGGTCTCCAGTATGATGGTAGACATAAGCGTGGAACAGGTGCCAACCTCTTGAAGAAGGGGGCAGATACAGGAGATCTGCAAAGAGTAGGAGAGGCGGGATAGCGTGAACTTCAAAGGGACAGAGGGTTCACACAGCCTACTAGAGAGACTTCCATCTTGGGGGTGATGTGAGGCTGGTGAGTGGAGCTGGCTACCAGGCAGCCAAGACAAAATACCCTGACAGTCCTCTCCAGCTTGGCAGGATTCACTGGGGATTGTTGGGGAGACAACTGTTGTGGCAGCTCCATGGGACAGGAATCTCCTGGGATAACAGGGACGGAGGCAAGCCATAAAGTCTAAGGGATGTTTTGGAGTAGCAGGGCATCTGTCTCACTGTAGTGCACACATCGCCTTTTTATAGGTGATATATCTCTGTTTCCCAAGTGTTATTTATATTCCTAGATCTTGATTAATTTTCCCTGCTTTATTATCATGCTCAGCAGGACAGCTGGGGTCTGCCTTTCTCCCTCTTTTGCTTTCCTCCCTTACTTAAAATTTGGATTCTTTCTTTGCCTGTTCTGGCTCCAGCCACCTACATAAACATCTTTCTGGGTCTCACTCAGGACCCCGGCTCCCCTAACTCAGCCAAGCCTCCATCTGCGTTTCTATCAATTCTGAAAGCAGGACTTTCCTGAGTCTGGGTCCCCCCCCGCTCCATCGTCAGCTTCAGGACAAGCTGTTCTTCAAGTCCATGCCTGGGCTTCAGTGTCTAACGTTAAGAGCCTAGGCTGAAGAGAGAATAATATATATTTCTTTAAGAAATAACAGCATGCCAGCTGTTTAAGGAACAGTGAGATCAGTTTAAGGAACAATTGGAGAACAGAATGAAGGAGTGCAGTCATAGTAAGAAGTAAACAAGAGTGGGAAAGAGTGTAATTGGAGATTCCACTGGGAGCATTTGGGAAGCCTGAGGTATTTATTCCTAAAGCCAAGAAATGGTGAACCTGGAATCTGACTCCTGCCCTGGAAATGTGGAGGGCAAACAGAGATTCATTAACTGTTTCAGGGGTGGAGCCAGGGGAGTGCTGCTGTTTTTGCATTGGCCTGCGTTCCCAGAATTTGCCGTGGTAAGCCATGCATGAGTGTATCCTTTGCACCTTGCAGGAGAGGGAAGTGTCAGCTGGTCTTGAGTCCTGTCCGGTAGGACCATTTGAAGAGGCAAGGAGACCTTAGCACAAAGAAGCTAGGAGTGTGCCATGTGGGCTGAGGAGGGAGCCTCAGGAAACCACCCAGAATAAAGCTGCATCCACCAAGGTAAAGGGGACTGCAGAAAAGGGACAGCATGATGCTCCCTTTAAATATCTAGCAGGCCCGTGGGGCACAGAAACACCCAGTCAAGCAAGCTCTGTTTTATCCCCTTCCTCTCTGCAGTTGGGCCCAGAGCAGTCAGCAGCTCTTAGGTGGAGAGGAGGTGAGAAGAGCAGAGAGCATCCAGACCATTCCTCCCTTCCCCAGTGCAGGCTCCTTGACTTAAGTGGGACAGAGCTGGGAGGCGAAAATAGTTAAAGCTACAATAGGTGCAAATTATTTATTGTAACGTAGGATTAGACATTGCAATCATCTGAGACTGGTTTTGTATCTTAAACTGATTCTAAGACATCTATGAACTAAGAATGAGCTGAAAAGTCACAGGCTTGCTGCAGCTTTTCTCTAAATGAAAAAGGGTTGGAGGGGTGGTGAGAGACGAGAATAAAGTTGGGTTTGGCTAGCAGTCTGTGCTTATGCTTCCTCAGCATCCCTTTTAGAGGCTTATTGCCCCTGCAGTCATCGGGGTGCTCCAGCTTTTGTTCCTGTAACACTGTTCTAAGGGAGCACAGTTCCCAAAGAAGCAACATGGTCTTGGCAGAGACACAGCTCGGCTCCAGTCACTCAACCACTTACGTAATTTCACGAAGCCCTTTACACATTCTCACAGAGACCTCTAATTACGTTGTCCTCCATCCCTGGTGACCTCCCAGGCTGTCCACCTGGTTCTAGCACATTCGACTACTGCAGTAACCACCTTACTGGTCCAGTTGCTTCCACTCCTGTCCCCAGAGCAATTCATTTTCCACTCAGCCAAGTGAGCTTTTTAAAATGTAAGTCAGATATGTCACTTCTCTGCTGAAAATCCTTCAGTGGATTCACAGTGCTCTGAGAACAAAAGACAAACTCCTTCCCAGGCCCTATGTGATCTTGCCCAGGCCTCCCTCTCCAACTGCACCTTAACCCACTGCTTCCACACGAAACTGCAGCCACACAGGCTTTCTTTCCATTCCTCAAGTGTTCCAAGCCATTTCTACTTCTGGGTCGTTACATTTGCCACTCCATCTTCTCAAGATACTTTTCCCTGGTGAGTTCATTTTCATCTTCCAGATCTTCACACCAGCATCACCTTTTCTTCTGTGGAAAAACCGGGCTAGATGCTCACCAAAATGTCCTTTTCCTGGACACACAGTTAAATTACATTTCCCAGCGCCTTGCATCAAGGTGGGGCTGTGTGCATCGTCCTCCCCAGTGGAAAGGGAGCAGAAGTGACGTTTCACTACCAGGCCAAGACAGTTCAAGAGTGGACGAGCCTTCTCCGTGTTCTCCACCCCCTCCTCTGCCTTCCAGGGTGACCTTGAAGCACGTGTTTTGAAGATGGAGTCAGAGCGTAGAAGGAGTCTGGATATTTAAGTCCCTGCTTAGAGGAGAATTGCTTGATCGAGAATATCCACATTTCTTTGAACAAGGAATAACCTCTGTTGCATTAGTGTTTAGCATGATATGCCCTGGCTAATATAGCTTCTCTGGCCACCCTGTCCACCTTGTCTTGATCACAGAACCCTTTCTGCTTCCTTCCGGGTGCTTCAGACATTTAATTAGCTTACCAGATGCCGGTCAACACTTCCCCAGTCCTATGAATTGGACTCTTAACTGGGGAAAAAAATGCTCACATGAGGAAGTTGAGATACTGATTTTATCAGTTTATCAGTTACATTTTGATTGTGACAAAAGAAAAGCAACAACAAAAAAAGGAAATCCCCCTAAAGAATATCTTAAACAAATTAGATTTTTCTTCTTGTAAAACTAGAAACCTGATGGTTGGTGGCTGTTGGCATTGGTTCAGGAATTCAAGGATGTTAGCAGTTAGGTCTGTGTGACTCTCTTGATCCTCATGGTCACAGGATGATGTGTTTTGATTAAGCAGAGACACCCTACTTACTATTACCCTTCTCAGGAGTCTCACAGGTAGCCACAGCCCCTATCATTTTGGCCTTACTTCAAGGGTCCTTCTACATTGTTAGTACTCTGGTGTAAATATGTTCCATTTATTCCCTATAACATGGCTGAGACCAATCTGAAATATTACTATTTTAAATATATTTGTCTCCCCCGCCCCTTCCCACATTTCAGTGGCCTGTCAGCAACTCATCCAATTCAAAGCTGTTCTCCCTGCAGCTCAGTGGGGGGTGGGGAAACCTTCATGGTCTGTTTTTTTCACTCATTCTCTACCTCCTCTATCACTTGTAGGACTGGGATGGGGGAAGGCATGTTAGAGGCACAAAGGCTAAACTTTGATTTAGTTTAGCTTCGTCAGTGTGTCCTACTAAGACAGGCATTTAAATGTTGGCTCAGTGTGTGAGGTATTGGGGTTCTCTGGAGTCCCGCCATGGCACTTGCGCACTAACTGGTTTTGGTTCCCTCCTTACAATACTCAGCCCACACTCCCCCTCGGCTCTTCAGCTCCTGACACTGACAGCGTATGCACAGTGTCCTAGTGCTGAAGTCCCTCACCCTGGCGGGCAGCCCTCCTGGGAGAGGTTCCAACAAATACCTTAGGAGTGGTTACCTTTTTGGGAGCTCCCGGGAAACTCATGCATGTTTGTCCTGCCAAACAGCAGAAGTGCAGCCCCGCCAGCAGCTGACTCCCCTTGCCCTGTCCCAGCTAGCCTGACTCTGACTTCTCCATATCTCTCTCTCTGCCTCCAAACCCTCACAAGTGACTCAGGTTACTTTCTCCCAAGAAGCCTCTGCCCCAGGCTCCACCCCAGTGGCCATATGGAGCCAGGTCTATAAGTTTCTGAGTGTAGCAAGCGTCTTGCTAGAGAATGTAATGCTGAATGAATATAAGGTCTCTCCCTCTCCTGGAAACATGAAATGACTATAAGTGGTTGTGTTGGAGCCCTCCTCGCTTGATTTAGGATGGAGGGGACAGCGCTGCTTCTTTACCTTTCGGGGAGAACTTCTCTCTATTCCTAAAAATTCCCGTCAATGAAGCTTGCTTTTCTAACTTCATGTACAATAGGAAGGTTGGTGGGCCCTGGATCAGCTTTATTACCTTAGAGTAAATTCTATGTAGGTATATCTAGCACCCTTATTTAACATCTTCTTACTTGTGCAAGTATTCTTGTAAAATGTGAATTGTTCTCATGCATGTGCTTTATTTATAGAGTATTGTCAACAAATCTTGTCTTCTTTTTTTCCATCACTCAATTGTGTTTTTAATATCCATCTATGTTATCAATCAGGGCCCACTCAGGAAAATAGAAACCATACTAAGTGTTTCAAATAGAGGGCATTTAATGCAGAGAATTGATTACAAGTGATAGAGGCTGAGACAAAAGAAGATGCTTGATGTAATTAAAAATTAAGAACTGGAGAAATCAGATAATGTCCTAAGGCCTGGGAAAACAAAAGGGAAGAAGGGAAATAATTACCAGAAACTAGGAGCTCAGAAAAGGGGCCACTTTTAACTGGTCAGTACTCAGATCTTTATGGGGAGGCTCCCTCCACATACCTGGTGCTTGGACTTCTGAGGAAGGAAATGGCCTTGAGGGTGAGGGAGCAAGGTCTGACCGTTCTCTGACTGCCAAGGGGGGAGCTGATCTGCTGCTGGTGTCTCAGAAGTGTAGCAAAGCTGCTGCTGAGTGCAAAAGAAGCTAGTAGCCAGAGACAACTGTCTGCAGCTGAAATACTGTGACAGCAACTGGAAAACAGGAATGAAGACTCTCCCCCCATGTTTCATTTTCAGTTTCCCTCTATGGCATCCCTTTGGCAGAACCTAATGGAACCACCTGCCAGTGGATTCTGGGAAGTACACTCTGCAGAGTCACAGCTGCAACAACACAACTCCAGAGGGTGTGTACGTGGGGGCTGAGAGGGAGGTGTGCTGCAGAGGGAGATATGGAGAGTGTAGAAGCCAAAAGAAAATAGGTAAATAGCCAGTATATTCCATGTAGCTGCTCATACATCTAGATTGTTGCTTCTGTCAGCTGTGAAGTACTTCATAATATGCATCCACCATAGTAAACTTATATATTGGCCTGGTTGCCTCAAATTCTTTGCCATCTGGAGAAATTAAAATCCTTGCAGCTAGGGTTCTGAGTACAAAATAAGTGCCCCCGACTAGATGCACTCATTTGAGATTTGGGAGGTAAGGGTCATCTTCCTGCCGCTTGGCTGTTATTGCTGGAGGCAGGTGTAAGCGCTCGGCTTTCTGCAGCAGCGTCCTGCCGAAGCCAGGGACAAAATAGGGTGCCCGCTGTAAGGGCGAAGGTCAGCATATTCTGGAAGTTCAGTAGGTAAAATAAATCTGCTCTGTACAAATTTGGCTTTAATAAGATGGTTAAGAAGAAAAATTATTGGAAGGGTGTCAATAAGTTACTCAGAGAACTAATGGAAAGTCCAGGGAGTGAGGCTTAGAGAACAGACAGGAGCCAAGGGAGGATGAACAGGTGCAAAATCTAAGGTCAACTTTAGTCAGTCTGGTTAGGATGGCACTGCTGTCACCATTGCTACTTGACTTTACTCTCACTGTTTTGGGTACATAGATTGATGCTGAGAATTGAGATAATCCTCCTCTATGTTCATGGCGCTATATTAGGACTGGCTCAGAAAGGCCCCTCTCCTGTTCTTTATTTTGTTTGTTTACTTTATTCCTGATTCATACTTCTGCTCCTCTTGTACCCCACAATGTGTTTGTTGTGTGCCCCTGTACACCTGTGTATCTTTGGCAAAATAGATGGTGGTTTTGGTATATGCATGCTGTGGCAGAGACTTGCCAGCTGTTCCTCGCACCCATTTTCTTCTTCCCGGAAAATTAGCTGTACTCTTTCCCAGCTTCCCTTATTCTTAAGTCTGGCCATGTGATTGAATCTAGCCAATTGGATGGTAGTGGAACTAAGGTGTGCTACCTCTGTGATTTGGGTCCTTAAATTTTCCTATGCACAGTCCCCCGTGTTATTTCCACTTTGGCCTTTGAGCATATGACCTTGAAAGCTACACGTTGAAGATGACGGAGCCAAAAGGTGGAAGGAGTCTGAACGTCACTTAGAGGAGAGCCACCCACCAATTAAGAACATCTGTTTTGGATTTCACGTGAGTGAAAAAGAAATCTCTATCTTTTTGAGCCATTATACCCTTGGTTTGTTGTTACAGCGACTAGTAATCTTTTTTTAAAATCCCTTTTAATTGAACACATCAGAAAAGTAAACAAAACACACACCCATGCAGAAAAGTAAACAAAAATGTTAAGCCTAATGGTTTATCACAAGGCCGGTACCTGTGTACGCGCCACCTAGACTAAGAAACAGAAGGCTGTCAACACCCAGAAGCCTCTTTTATGTCACCTCCCAACTTTCTTCTCTTGACTTTGCAAAGTTACCACCATCCTAACTTTCATGACATTGATTTCCTTGCTTCTATTTATAGCCTTACCAGTTGAGCATCCATACCTAAATTGTATATATTTCCATGTGTCTGGCTTCTTTCCATCCCATGGATGGGATTCATCCATGTGTTGAGTGCAGCTGAATTTCATTCATTTTTATTTCTGTAGAAATATATCCCATTCTGTGAAGAAACCACAGTTTATTGATTGATTCAACTGTTGATGTACATTTGAGTTATATATCAATCAGAATGGGCTGGATCATGCTACAGGAAACAAAAACCCAAAATATTAATGGCTTAACCCCACAAAAGATAATTTTTTACTATTGCTGTAGGTTGGCAGGGACTCTGTTCGTAGTCACTAAGGTACTCAAGCTAATGAAACTCCATTGCAATACATGCTTCCGTAATCACTAGGCGAGAAAAGGGAACAAGACAGATCACACCCTGGCACCAAAAGCTTCACCCTGGAAGCGACACATGTCCTCTTTGCCCCGTTTAATTGGCCAAAACAAGTCTCATTGCCATATATACCTCCTGTACAAGCCTACCGTGTACCCAGAAGGAAGAGAAACAGAATGTGAACTGCCTAATGATTAGTTTGTGGTTCCTACAAACAATGCTGCTGTGAACAATCTTGCAAGTGCCTCCTGTGCATGTGCACATGCTTCCTTTGGGAATATAACTAGGAGAAAACTGGTCATAAAGTATGTATATCCTCAACTTTAATAGTTAATGCCAGACTGTTTACAAATTTTTCAATTTATACTCCCTTCACCAGGGAAATGAGTGTTCACTTAATCCACGTGAGAATTCACTTTATTCCATATCTTTGCTATCTTGTGGCATTGTCCCCCAGTTCCAGTATATGTGTTATGTTATGTCCTTTGGTTTAACTTTTCATTTCCCTAATTACTAATGGGATTGACCTTTTCATATACTGACTGCTTGAAAATCCTCTTCGATCAAGTGCCTGTTGAAGTCTCTTGCCCATTTTTTTCTAATGGATTGTCTTTTCTTTGTTGATTTTGTATTTTATATATATATATACACACACACACACACACACACACACACACACACACGTAATCCCTTCTGGTTATATGTACTGCATGTATCTTCTCCCATTCTGTGGTTTGCTTTTTCACTCTCTTAATGGGTGTTTATTGAAGAACAGAAGTTTAATGTAGCCTGGTTTATCGATTGTTCATGGTTAATGCTGTGTGTGCCTATTTAAAGAATCATTCCTACCCCAAAATGATGAAGATATCTTACTAACTTATCTTCTGGATGTGTTAGTATTTTGCTTTCCATAGTTCTACAACCCATGTGCAACTGATTTTTCTGTGTGGTTAGAATAGGAGCCAAGCTGAATTTTATTTCCATCTAGATATCCAATTAATACAAAACTGTTCATTGAAAAAAAATTTTCCTCTTACTCTCTACCTTTCCATATTTTTCTATTAAGTGCGAGTTTGTTTCTGGACACCCTAATCCATTCCTTGGTCTGTACGTCTATCTTCACAGCAGTACCTCACTGTTTTAACTACAGTAGCTTTCTAATAGGTCTTAGTATGTGGTACAGCAAGTCCCACACGTTTTTCATCTCCAGAAGGACTATTGTTGGACCTTTGCATTTCCATGATTGTCAAGTTCCCTGAACACCCTGATGGGATTTTCTTATGCTGGATCAGTTTGGTGCGAATTGATACATTTGTAATACTGAGGCTTCCAAATCTGTGGTCTGTGTGCTCCATTTCATTAATTGCTGTCAATGTTTTATAGATTTATGTGCAAAGTTCTTCTTGCACATCTTTTGTTATATTTATTCCTAGGCATTTACTGTTTCTTTTTTAAACGTCTTGCAAATGGGATCTTTAGAAATTTCATTTTCTCCTTGCTTTTATATAGAAATGTAACCAATTTTTGTGTGTTGACCATGGAGCAGCACCCTTGCTAAATAACCTCACTTACTAACTAATAATTTATCTGTATTCTTTTATGCTCTACATATATTATATTCATATCGTCTCTGAACATCATATCAGTTTATTTCACCCTTTCTAATTCTATATCATTTATTCTTATCCATGCTATACTCCACTGGCCAGGAGATCCATCACTATGTTCAAGAAGAGTGATGTTGGTGGAAGTCTGAATCATTATCAGACTTGAAGGAAAAGATTTTAGTATTTTGTCATTGAGTGTGGTATTTGAAGTGAGATTCTGATTAATGGTTGTCAGATCAGTAATGTGCTCTACTTGCTATTACTTGTATCATGAATTGGATTTTGAATTTTGTCAAATGCTGCTTCTGAATTGAGATGATCATATATTTTTAAAAATTCTGTCAGTGTAGCAAGTAAAAGATTTATTTCCATATGTGAAATCAACCTTGAGTTTTTGGAATAAAATCAGCTTAGTTGATTATATCTTTTTTATATATTGATGAAATCAGTTTAATAATACTTTGTATAGGACTTTTAAATCTGTGCTCATGAGTGAACATAAGTGATATCTTCCTATAAATCTTCCTTTTCCCACTCAACACAGTGCTTTTAAGTTCTCTTCGTGTTGCTATATGTACCTATAACGCACTTTAACCTCTTCTTCACATGCTCTAATGGCTTCCCATCTCATTCATAATATAGCCCAGAGTTCTTACTATAACCGAAAAGCCCCTTGTATTATCTGGATTCCAATTATCTCTCTAACACTCGCCCCCTTCATACACACCTTTTCAGCCATACTGTCCACTTTGCTAATTATTGAATATTCTAGGCATGCCCCTGCCTCAGGGCCATTGTACTATTTCATCTACCTGGAATATATTTTCACAGTTATCTTTATGGCCTACTTCCACACTATATTTGGATCTCTGTTCAAATGTCAATCTATCAGGTAATCCCTCTCTCTAGCCAATACTTTTTCTTTCAACTTTTTTTTTTTTAAGCCAATACTTTCTGCTGCCTTACCATGCTTAGCGTTTCTTCAAGGGACTAATCGCCATCTTTTAAATTACATATTTATTTGTTTATATAGTTATTATGTATTTCCTCACACTAGAATGTAAATTCCAAGAGAGTAGGGACTTATCTGTTTTATTTAATACTGTATCCCTGGGATCTAGTACATACTTGCATCTGACATCTGTTTAGTGTTCCAACATGTATTTGTTTAGAACATTTAACATAGCCATTCCTCTAAAGACATTTAGATTATCCAAATCCTTGTGACTACAAAAAAATGGGGGGAAGGATTTTCTTATAAATGTTCTCTTAAATGTATACAGTGTATATATGAGTCTTGGTTCCAGATTTCGAGTTACTTTGTCAGGCCAGTTATGCCACAATTAACAACTATAAAATCTGAGCAAAATACAAACAAAAAACAATATTTGAAGGCCCTGGAAAGTGAACAAAAGCAGGCAGAAAGCAGAGGAGAATTTACCCATGAAAGACTTTAGCTGCAGTGGGTAAGAATTGTGATTTTTGTGGTCTTTCTGTCTGAAGGTTTTCCTTCCCCAGCCCATTTTCCAGCCCCACCCTATCCTCCAGTTCCAAACGCAGAAAACCACAGCCTTACTCACTCAAAACAGCAGAGGACAGAGTTCAAGGCTGGTAAAAATGCTGGAAATTTAAGAGCAGAAATCCTGGAAGAGAGAGTGGTATAAGGGGTGAAACCAAAATTTGGACAAACTCAACCCAAATCTTTGGATGACTACTAAATTACACATGCAAAGGGGAGACTCAGTGGGACCTAGCAAAAATAGCTGGCAGAATCCAGTGTGGAGTCTATCTTCGAATGACAGAAATGCACTGGAGTGAGATATGCAAATTTGCTGCTTTTTTTTGCCTGAATACATTTCCTCAATTCATGTCCAGCTTGGGTGGCAGCTGAAGTGTCAGAAGACAGGGTTTGGCAGTGGAGAGCAGCTGGAAACTTAAAAGGAAAATCCCAGAAGCAAAAGCACTATAGAGGAGATGAACCCCCAAAATCTGTCCAGGTCTTTGGCCAGTGACTGACCTATGTAAATGCAGGTGAGATGCTCTGAGGCTAGGCTAAAAAAGCAGCTGCTAGAAGCCAAAAGAACTAGGTAGATATGTCAACTGTTGTATGCACAACATAGGAAATATAAAATTTGCATTTTGAGGCCCCCCCATCCCAAAATTCCTATAACAACACCAACAACTAATCTTCAGAACATAACAGAATGAAAATTTCCATTTCGTTCTTTCTTGTAGTTTCTGTTTCTACAACATATTATTCACAGTATCCAGTTTTCAACCAAAATTACGAGACATGCAAATAAATAGGAAATTATAGCCCTATTATAATTATAAAAATATGAAATTATAAACAGTAATTTATACTCAAGGGAAAAGACACTCAATAGAAACTGACTCTAGTGGGCTCAGATATTGGATTAAGTTGTCACAGAGTTCAAAGTAGCTGTTATTAATGTGTCCAAATAATAAAATGAAAATATGGATAAGAAATTCAAGGAAAATATGGCCTCAATGAATATACAGATGGAGAACCTTGCCAGAACATAGAAACTACAAGAAAGAATGAAATGGAAATTCTAGAACATAAAAATATAAATAACTAAAGGAAAAAAAAAAAGGATAATACGAAGTACTTGATTTGTACAACAGAGAAAATAGGCTGAAAAAATTGATGGGGCCTGTGGGATTATAACAAAAGGTCTGACATTGTGTCATTGAAGTCCCAGAAGAAGATGAGAAGGAGGATTTAGCTGAGAAAGCACTTGATGAAAAATATCCAGAAACTTCCCAAGTTTGGTAAGAAATCCATATGGATTCAAGAAGCAAGTGAACCCCAAACAGAATAAACATGAAGAAATCCATTTAAAACATATATAATTAAACTTATGAAAACTAAATAAAAAGAAAAAATTTGAAACAACTAAAGAAAAATGACACCTTACCTAAAGGGGAAAAACAATTTGAATGAGAGCAGAGTTCTTATCAGAAACCATGGAAGCTATAGGGGAGTGGCACAGTTTTTCTCAGATTTTGAAATAAAAGAACTGTTAACACAGAAACTTATACCCAGTGAAAATAAAATATCCTTTAGGAGTGAAGGGGAAATTTGGATATTCTCAGATGAAGGGTAACTGGGGGAATTTGTCACCAGCAGACCTACCCTAAAAGAATGGCTAAAAGAAGTTCTCCAGATAGAAAGGGAATGATAAAAGAAGAAGTCTTAGAACATCAGGAAGGATGAAAGGGCACAAATATATGTGTAAACAAACATGTATGCATGTACAGCTAGCTTTCCTTCTCTTGAGTTCTCTGAATTGTGTTTGATGGTTGAAGCAAAGTTTATAACATTGATGTGGTTCTAAAGGTATTAAGACAATTACATTATAAACAGGGAAGGATAAAGGGAAGTAAGGTTTCAGTACTTCACTTGAACAAGATGACAACACCAGTAAACCGTGTTAAGTAATGTATATATAATGTAATACATAAAACAACTACTAAAAAGCTGTATAAAGATATAAACTCAAAAACACTATAGATAACTCAAAATGGAGTTCTAAAAAATATTCAGCTAACTCACAGAAAGCAGAAAAAAGAAAACAGACAAAAATCAGAGAGAGTAAACAGAAAAACAAAAAGCAGATCTACTCCCTAGCATATCAATAATTATATGTTAATGAACTGAATACACCAATTAAACAACAAAGATGGGCAGAGTGATTTGAAAAAAAAAGACCAAAATATATGTTGTCTACAAGAAACTCACTTTAAATATAACAATATAGGCAAATTGAAAGTAAGAGGAAGAAAAAGATATATCATGCAAACATTATTTAAAAGGAACCAGGAGTGGCTATATTGATATCAGATAAAGTAGACCTCAGAGGAAAAGATTCTGACAGAGAGAGCGAAAGGGACGTTATATAATAATAAATGGGTCAATGCAGCAAGAAAGCATAGCAATCCTAAATGTGTACACACCAAACAACAGTGTGCAAAGTACATGAAGTAGATCTGATATAACTGAAAGGAGAAATATACAAATCCAAACTTGCAGTTGGAGACTCGCAACAGTTGGTAAAACAACTAGACAGAAAAACAACAAGTACATAGAAGAACTCAACAACACCTTCAACCAGTAGGATCTAACTGACATTTATAGAATACTCCACCAGCAAATCATTTTCAAGTACCTATGTAACGTATCATTAAGATAGGCCACGTCTTGGGCTATAAAATAAATTTCAACAAATTTTAAGATTTGAAATCATATAGAGTATGTTCTCTGACCACAAAAAAATCAAGCTAGAAATTAGTAACAGGAAAATTTCCAAACATTCAGAAGCTAAATAATACACTTCTAAATAATCTATAGGTCAAAGAGGAAGTCACAAGGGAAATATAAAAATACATTGAATGTAATGAAAATGAAAATAGAACATATCAAAATTTGTGAGGCATAGCTAAAGCAATGCTGAGAGGAAAATGTATAGCACTAAATGTATACATTGGGAAAGAGATAGCCTTAAATGAATGTAATCAAAGTTCCCACCTCAATCTAGGGGAAAAATGGGGGGAAATAAATCCAAAGCAAACAGAAGGAAGGAAATAGTAAAGGTAAGAGCAGAATTTCATGAAATTGAAAACAAACAACCAACCTGAATAGAACAACTCAATGAAACAAAGGGCTGTTTCTTTGAAAAGATCAATAAAATTACAAACTTCTAGCAAGACTAACAGAAAAGACACAAATTATCAGTATCAGGAATGAAACAACAAATATCACTACAGACTGTGCAGACAAATATAAAGGAATACTGCAACTCTGGACCTATATTTGACAACTTAGTTGAAATGGAACAATTTCCCCCCCAAAAAAGACACCAAAATATTACAATTCATGCAATATGAAATAAATAAATAACCCTGTAACTATTATGGAAATTAAACTTGTAACTTTAAAACTCCCAAGAAAAAAGTCTCCAGGACTTCTGTGCTAAAAACTACAACACTGATGAAAGAAATCAAAGATGTAAATAAATGGAGAGACATGCCATGTTCTTGGATTGCAAAACTTAGTAAAGACATCAGTTGTGTACCCACATGGGTACGGAGGTTTAAACACAATTCCTGTCAAAATCCCAGCATGACTCTTTGTAAACACAGGTAAGATTACAGTAGTTCCCCTACACACGAACCTTCAAGTTTTGAACTTTCAAAGATGCAAACATGCGTTCAGATGTCCAGTCACGTAAGTTAGTTCACATGTCTGGCGTACATAGTCACATGCAGCTTGCCCCCCTTTCCTATTGCTGACGGTCCTTCAGCTCTACCATCTCCCACCTCCTCTCCCTCCTCCAGTCAGTAACTCTTCTTGCCTGTTCACTCGATGCCAGCCCCTGGATGCCACCTGTTGTACAGTACTACTGTATTTTCAAGGTACTGTACTGTAAGATTAAAAATGGTTTCTTTATTTTTTGTGTTTGTTTTTTATATATTATTTGTGTGAAAAGTATTATAAGCCTATTACAGTACAGTACTATATAGCCGATTGTGTTAGTTGGTACCTAGGCTAACTTTGTTGGACTTACGAACAAGTTGGACTTATGAACGTGATCTCAGAACGGAACTCATTCGTATGTAGGAGACTTACTGTGTTCTAAAGTTTGTATGGAAAGGCGAAGGAACTAGAATAAATAGACAGTTTTGAAAAAGAAGAATAAAGTAGGAGGAATCAGTTTACCGAATTTCAAGACTTAACTACATAGCTACAGTAATCAAGACTGTGTGGTATTGATGGAGGGGAGGGTAGATACATAAATCAATAGAACAGAGAACCCAGGAACAGACCCATACAACCATGCCCAGCTGATTTTTGACAAAGGTGCAGACACAATTCAATGGGGGAAGAGTAGCCTTTTCAACAAGTAGAGCTGGAGAACTTGGACATCCATAGGCAAAAATAAATGCATACAGAAATACATAAGTTTTAATATATCTGTCTTGACCTAGTCTCACACCTTGCACAAAAACTACCTCAAAATGGATCATGGACTTAAATATAAAACGATAAAACCCTTAGAAAAGAGACACAGGAGAAAATCTTTGATATCTAAGGTGAGGCAGAGTTTTAAACTTGACATCAAAAACGTGATTCATAAAAGAAAAAAATTGATAAATGGTGACTTCATCAAAATTTAAAACCTTTGCTCTATGAAAAATCCTATTAAGATAGGAAGGTACAGACTGGGAGAAAATATTTGCAAACCACCTATTTG